AATTTCAAAAAAAAATTTTTTTTGCTTAATAATATTAAATCATATAGATATATATATATATAAATGAAGTAAAAAAAAAATATATATCAATTTTTACTTTTAAAACACGACACGAATATGTGTTTCAATTTGTGACACGTATCGGTTATTTGATAAACTGTCCGTGCCAAGCGTGTATTTAAATTTAAATCTACATTGTTTACCCGTGAACTATGCTGCTTACAAAACAGCGCGTAATATGCTATATCAAGTTGTGTGGAATAAATGCTGCAACCGTGCAACCCCGAATCAGATTACCATTAATCTCCATTAATAATATTTAATATTCATTCCTGCAGTTGAGCGATTTATTTTTAATGTAACGTGTATGTTTTAAATGTCAATATTGAAATGCGCGATATGATTTAATATTATTATATCTGATTATGTCATTTATGTGATCTTTAATGCAAATCTTATAATTTTGCTAACGTGGTTAAAAAGCTGTTCATAATGACGGGCTACATTATTTCTAGAGCATTAAAAGTTCGCAGACAAGAAGTAAGTAATATCGGTTTAATCTTTCATGAAAAATGCGATATTTTCACCTTATTCTTTTGAAACGCTCAAGTTTGACTTTAGAAATAAGTAAAAATTAAATTAGAGACAATCAACTTACTATTTGTTTCACAAAATAATTGTTGAAATCAGTTGATATCAGCTTATTACAGTCTTATCGAGGTGGTCGTCAATCACGATCGTTGTGTCGCCGTTAATTGACGTGACGCGGGGCGAAACTTTAATAATCACGTAACTTCGCGCAAATATTCAGCTGTAATTGACGAAAATCACTATTTTCTTACAAGTTTTATCAAATTACTGTACAGTACATTTCTTGTATCGCTTTTTTCTTTCGCTTGTTTATGAAATTGTCAGTGGTGATAAAAAGATCATTAGATCACAATTTAATTAAATTAAAGATAAAATCGGACAGATACCTTAATACAGAGCTTGCCGAGTTATCCGCGAAATCTGCTCGCTAAAGAATTACGTTCTTCTGTCAATAAAAGTACTCGAGCTCCCCCGGTCGAGAGAGGCGATAATGATATTAATGACAAAATCTCGCATATTTTCATTCTCTCAGCGAAAACACCTTTCAGAGATATCTGCCGTGTTCGTTTACAATTAATTTTACTCGCATATTATCTGACGTGGATAATTAAATCTGCATTTCAAACAGCTGAGGCCACGTAAAAACGTAAAATCGATATTATCAATGGATTATACAGTCCCTCATTAAAAAAACTCTGATTAACAGAATAGTATTAATTGCAGTATTATTATAGAGCGACGTTAATTAACGTTTATGCGATTTCACTAAATTAAAGTGAAATCTACCGCTTGATTTCAGTCGAGCGCCAGCGAATCGGGCGAAGTGGATTTAACCGGACACCAAATTCGTTACGCTACTCAGCCGGATTTGCGCTTGTTATAATTGATTAAACTCCACGCAGATATAATCTGCGAAAAGGAAAAGGGCATTACGCTTGCAGATTGTCTTCCGAGTTTCTTGACTTTCTTGCAAAATTGGATGTAACGAGGTCGCAGTTCCACGGCGGCGGTTGTCAGACCGTCCGTCATTGCGAAATCTCGCCGAATATAAAGCTCCGTATCTCGGCTTACGAAATCCCGCGACATTTTATTTAAATCGGTATCCCAATTTGCTCCGGGAGGAGAGACGGATGTGTTCGTCCCGCCGTGAAATCCGGCGGTGTGTTTTCTATAAAACGCGCACCTTTGACACACGAGGCCCGTAGGGATCTCGAAGGACAGTGGATTCGCTGTCCCGCGCGACTTCATTCCCGCGAATCGACTCAATTCATCCCCGACGTGTCATAACGCACCACTGTCTATTCTCTCGGCTGTTATCGTAGCTGGAGTTTCGGCGGCTGATGAAAGAATTCGGCCCATCTGTGCGCCTTGTCGTGCGCGGCGGATAATCATTTCTGAACGTCGGCAGCAGGTTAGCGTGATATGGAAAAAATCTTGGTTTACAATTATCGCGTTAATGTTTGCGTACATACCACTCGGCACTATAGATCGTCCGAAGAAGGAAGCTATTCATCGAGAAGATAGGGCGGCAAGTTGCTTCGACGAATTTACGAAATTCGGTATCTTTCATCGAAAGAGATGTACACTATCTCTGATAATTCGCCGGACGAGTGAAATGGGACCGATAGGAATACGAGTCAAATATCCAAACGCAAACGTGGTCGAGAAACTTTCCAAGAATGTCAATATTCACTTCTTAATATTATATATAACATTTGAGTCTTAAACTCGTAATATTAAATGTAATATTCGGCGCTAAGTCTGCAAATCTTAAATCTAAATATGACTCTAACAAGATCCGTCCAGAAAGTAAGAGGTAGCTGCTCGGGATACCTGTTAACCCTCTCGAACTTAATTAGTTAGAAAATTTAATTTTGGATGCAGTGAAACTGCTGCGCCAAGTAAGACTTCTTAAGTTTTCCCTTTAATCGACTCGACGTTTAAATGCATTCAGCCTGCTTGATGGCGGTCGGCGTCGGTACCGCCCTGGCTTGGACGTCCCCCGTTCTGCCCCAGCTGTACAAGGAGGGCTCCTGGCTGGTTATCACCAAGGAACAAGGGTCCTGGGTGAGCTCGCTGCTGGCTCTAGGCGCGATAGCGGGCGCCGTCCCGTCCGCACCGATGGCCGACAAACTCGGCCGGAAGAAAACGCTTCTTCTGCTGGCAGCTCCGTTTCTCCTGTCCTGGGTGATCATCATATTCGCCTCCAAACTGTGGCTGATCATGCTGGCCAGGTTCATAGTCGGCGCCGCCGTGGGGGCGGCCTGCGTCGTCGTGCCGACTTACATCTCCGAAATCGCGGAGACCTCGACTCGAGGTACCCTCGGTGCCATGTTCCAGCTGAACATCACGATTGGGATCCTGCTGGCCTTCGTGCTCGGAGCCTTCATGAACTACACGGCGTTCGCCATAGTCTGCGCCCTCGTAGAGGTCGGCTTCCTGGCTAGTTTTATATGGATGCCGGAGTCGCCTATTTGGCTGGTGGTAGGTCAAACCGATCGGCACTTTTTATTCTCACGCTCTTTATATCGGCTATTTTGAATTGTATTAAAACCAGATTTACACGACCGTTAACAACCTCATAGTCAGAGGAAATGATTGTGATAACTGAATCGTAAAACGATTCGAAGTTATTCACGAAGAAAAATCTGAACGTGTCTCTTCATAGAACCAAAGACGGAAACCGGAAGCGATGATAGCGATGACGGTCCTCCGAGGAGATTCTTACGATCCGTCCGAGGAACTCGCGGAGGCGCAACGAGAAGCCGAGGAGGTAGCCTCGAGGAACTCATCCATATTCGACCTTGTACGAACCCCGGCAGCCAGAAGAGCTTTGCTCGCTTCGTTGGGCGCCATGTTCTTTCAGCAATTGTCCGGCATAAACGCAGTGATCTTCTACACCGTCACCATCTTCCAGGCGTCCGGAAGCTCGATACACCCGGACGTTGCGTCTATAATCGTGGCGGTTGTTCAGGTGCTTTTGTCTGATTTGCACAAAAGTCCTACACTTTTATGTAGGACCTTTATCGAACACTTTCGCACACTTGCCTTCATAAAAATGGAAATGTATAACATTTCTGTAATAATGTAATACATGTTCAGACAAGGAATTTCGAACTAAAAGAAACTTTTTCCTGGATGTTTTCAGAGTTCGGTTATCTTATTAAAGTGTAATTAGAATTTTTTTCTAAGGTTTGCGAGTTAGTTGTGGCCAGGGTTGGAAAAGTTACTTTATAAAAATATCTAGTTACAGTTACAAGTTACCTATTCTGAAAAGTAACGCGTCACAGTTACAAATACTCAATCAGTAGCAAATCGTTACTTTGCAGTTACTCTCTTGCAATGAAAAAATAAAAATATGAAAGCTGCATTTGAATTGTAAAGCGCCGATAAAGGCGTTTATGCGCAAATGCAAGGCCTAGTGCGATCTGTGAAGGCTTAAAATATATACAAAGTAACTATTAATGTAGCTATTAAATTGGTCACTCGTTAACGAAAAACTGTAGCTGAATTAAGTTACAGTTACAGATGGAGAGAAAGTAATGATGTTGGAGTTACCAAAAAAAAAAAGTAACTGTAACGTCGTTACAAGTAACGAGTTACTTCCCAACTCTGGTTGCGACGAACGCGATTTTGTACGAATTACGTAACTCGTCGTAGTTCTTTTTTTCGGCGGTTGAATTTTACACCCGTTGCCAGTGCGATACATGTCCGCCGTAATATCTGCTTATCTCTCGCAATCATTACGAACTGCTTAATCGTCGTGGATGACGATGTTTACCTGAAACCGTCGTTTCCGGCAGATGATTATGACGAGCGTAGCAGCTCTGATCGTGGATCGCGCCGGAAGGAAGCCGCTGCTGATATTTTCCTCGAGTGTCATGCTAGTCAGCCTCTTGGCTCTCGGTGCGTATTTCAATATTCAGGCGAGCAAGAGTGATGTCAGTAATCTCGGCTGGCTACCGCTCACATCTCTCACGTTATTCATGATCTCCTTCTCCGTCGGGTGAGTAAATATTGCAACTAATTGCACGTGGATCTTTTTAATGATTCAGGACGATTCACAGTATACTATCGCAAATGCAGTAAACTGTCCGTTTATAGATTATGATATTAATTCTCGAATTATAACTCAAGTATCTGATATCGCAATCAGCATGAAAAAGAGCGAGGAAGGTATTGTTTCTTTTATAGAATGGGTCCGATACCGTGGATGCTGATGGGCGAATTGTTCCCCGCGGAGACAAAGGCGATCGCTTCTGGTATCGCCGTGATGCTGAACTGGTTCCTGGTGTTCCTGGTGACGAAGACCTTCCCGGCGATGAACGAAGGGTTGGGCGCGGACATCACTTTCTGGATCTTCGCCGCGATTATGGCAGTCTCAACCGGGTTTACGTATTTCTTAATACCGGAGACCAAGGGGAAAACCTCCCAGCAGATTCAGGAGGAGTTGCAGGGCAACGTTCGGTCGACGAGGACGGACGCCTAAATTGTATCGATGAATTTTCACGGTGTAGCGTGACTGCTGTTTCGATAATGATACTTTTGAGATATAATAATTAAGTCGCCGCTATTCGAGCTGAGTTGCAAGAAGGCCTTGGGGCAACGAAGTATGAGAAGACACACGGGCGAACGACAAAGAAACTTGGCTTTTAACGGCGACACGTGAAGAAATTAATTGCTGAGAAAGTTGTCGAGAAAAAGTTAAATCTCATGAATGATTCATTTCTCGTATACTCTACATAAATTATATCAGTGAACGTATTGTTGTTGTCCGCTGTAAATCTTTGATGCAGAATTTTTAATCACGCAAATTTATCAATCGTACACGCGATGCATGAAAATTTCATTCTGTTGTTGATTATTATTATATGCGTCATCATACGAAAAAAATAATATCTCACAAAACTGTCTTTCGGTAACATTTAGGACTAAGCGATTCATAATCTGAAATATTATTGTATCACTTTATTTTAGGACTTTATTTCGTAATTAATAATTAAATGTACGATTAGTCGCCTCTGTTGTATTTTTACGCATAAAGAAATATGTACAGTTAATTAAGAGATCTTTTCATAGCACAGAAATAGGATTAATTGCGACAATAATTATTATAATAAATAAATTTATAGCTTGTCATAAATATTAAAAAATAATTTTAAAACAACAATGAGGCTATTAGTATTAATATATTATAAACTCCGTGATTTTACAAGACATTTTACAAGTTAATATATAGACGCAAATATAATATTTTATTCAAGTTTAATACACATAATGCGATTTGTGTTTTAATAAATAAATTTTTGAGTGATAAACAAATATTGATATTTATAATACTTTGTAAAACAATTTTCATTAACTCCTTTCCGGAAAATTGTGTCATAATGTACGTTATTATTTTCCTGTTTTAGCGCACAGCAAATATAGAGCACTACCACTAAGGAATAAAAAAAAATTTTCAGTTAGCACGTATCTTATTTACTTCATTATCTTCTTTTTACACGAGAATGGCGTCTTCAAGACGAGTAGAATATCTTATGTTAAGATAACGCAGATTACGATTGAGGCTATCGTGGAGCTGTTTAACCGCTATTGATTGAAGTCGTAAACAATTTGATGCGAATTGTGTGATGATCAATTTTAACTATTCTTTTGTAATATTTTCGTCCAATTGACGCTTAACATTTGAAACAGCACAGTCAAAAATTTAATGTAAAACATCTATAAATGACACTGCTCATTGGTTGAAAAATATTCTATGCATTTGTATTATAAAAGAGTTACAGACATTAATTTTAAAAGCAGAGAGAGAGAGAGAGAGAGAGAGAGAGAGAGAGAGAGAGAGAGAGAGGGGGGGGAGATTTATAACATACAAAATAAATGTGAGAAATATTCTTTTTAATTTTTCTTAAAAAGGTCAAGATTATTCGAAAAAAAAAGACCTAGAATTCTCTGGACAAATTTTAATTACAGCTTTTGATATTAAAATTTTAAATTATATACTATTTGTTTAAATAGTTTTTTTTAATGATTGAATTATACAAAATTACTATGTGAAACGAGTGGCTTAAACGAATGTTTAAAACGTTACTTCACGACGTCGCTAATTATCTGAAACCTGACCGGAAAATTATCATGTATATATTTTTTTTTCACGCCTGTGCAGCTCACTTTATCTTAGCATATAATTGTAACCGTGACCTAGTAACATTGCGCGCACTTGCCATGGAACTTCCCTATGTGCAGCAACACGTATATATTGATAATATAACGATTGTTGAATCGATCGACATACATTCAATTTTTTATTGCTCCAAGGTTATCGTAGAAAGTGCGAAGTTATCGCCGTTCTTCCTGAAACCGACGAACGAGAAAGGAATGTGACTACCACTAATTCTTTCGTGTGCGCATATGTGTGCGTATATGCATATGTAAGAAATTTCAAATTTAACGTATTAGTGAATTAAAAATTAAAATGCAAAAGACTTTTCTTCAACAAGGATAATTAATAAAAAAGCCACTTGCTATTGAAAATATATCAATTAAGTTTTTATAATTCGCGCTTTTTATTTATTTTAAAATAAACTTTAAGATACTAGATCCAACGACTTGATTGAGAATCCAACGACGTTTCCTGAGAAATGCTTAATAACGAAATGCTGGCGGGAAATAATGGTCTCATTAAATTTTTGTCGACATAACGCCCAACTCAGGTTTATCAAGAAGGAATTAACGGAAACGCGGCAAAATGATCGGATATCCATTATTTATACTGCAAATGGACTGAAAACGCTTTTGTTAACATTTAATGAATGATACAGTATCCTGTCTCTTGCTTCCATAAGAAGGTATTTAAGTTCTTCTCTCTCAAGCTCTTCCTCTTAAGCTTCAAGTGTGTAAGAATAAATGTAAATTTAAAACTTATATCGATAGGAAATTAAAATTAAAATAAATCTTGGTTTATTTCCCATACAAAAAGTTTAGCTCGAATCAATAAATAAATATTTCACGCAAAGAGTGATTCGATTAATTTTAAAGTAAGAAATAAGATACATAGATATTTGTGTAAATAAACGAGGAGAAATATGAATAAGAAATATCTAAATTCTTTCTCGTAGAAAAAGGACCAACAAAGAGAACGATTGCGATAAATCGATTCCTCTACAGTATGACGTATCCATATCAAGACTTTTTCCACACCTATGGAATTTATCGAAGACACTTGAGAAAGTTACGTAGTAAAATGCGTTCCTCGTTCAATGATAAGGAATTATCGACAGATTTCATTGATGTAACGTCATTTCCGGTAATGTAAAAAATTCAAACAAAACTTTCCAGAAGAGTCGCGAGCAAGACGGAAAATTTTAGATTTACTACAACTTGTGACAACGCATGACATTCTTTTATTTATTAGAATAGAAGCAATGGCGCGTCAATAGCCTCGGAGCCTTTCGAAGCGCGCATCTGGCGAGTGTAATTTGCCGTTGTATAATTAATAGGCAGATATATTAAGCGTTAATTAATATTGTAGGATCAGTTTTGTACATAGAATGCACGGGAAGATTAATTCGACGCTTGAAATTTTTCCACGCGAGATGACGCAGGCTTTACATTCTTAAAGTGGAACACAAATCATCTTTTATGATTAAAATGAGCTTCGTGCGTTGAATGAACATTTTTGCCAGCTGCCGTTGAAACGCATTTTAAGCTTTGCAGCTCTTAAAGTCAACGTGAACAAATTTTCCGCAGTTACGAATGATTGAAAAGTTGTTTTACAGGCATGTATCGATATTCTAGTAACGTTAAAAAATAAATCGGTAAAAAATAATGTTACATAATGTTATACAACGATTATACAAGGTGCTGTAAACCGTAGAATATTATTCAAGTTTCTGAAAGTTTCTACATTCAATTTTATGTCAAGCATAAGAAAATATTATCGTACAACAAAAATTGTGCTGGAGATAAAAGAATTATTATACGTCGCGAAAGACGTAGCTTTTGGAGAAGCAGTTTTCAATGTGAAAACAATTCCGAAAATTATACTCCATTAAGCAAAATCGGCTTTTAAGATTTTAAATATTTTGCAAAACACTTGTGATCCAAAAGAGATGCGCATTTGTTCTCCAATACGTTCTTTTGAGACGCTTCGATTAATTTATTCTCACGTAAGGCAGCAACGTGTTAATTTAATTCTTTAACGTTGCGACCACTGACGAATTATTCCGCGCTTGTGATTTATCGCTTGCAGATTGCAACGGAATGTCCTAATGACGCATATATGCATTTGCAAAGTGCTGTGGGCGATAGGACGTAAGTGTATTCGAGATGAATGCACTTTATCACGTTTCGCGCGTGGCAATTCTCATATCCTCCCACTTTAAGCGTTTCTCATTAATCCTCCCACTAGTAGCGCTAGTTGCATTTCTCTTTTTTTTTTACATGCACAATGCATTTTCTCACGTATTAGATTATGCAACGTTATTTCTCGAAAATCGCTCGACGTGCTGCGTTGTTCAACTGCTCCATCTCGAATTTTCGTTATCACCACGATTACGTTAACGATATTAACGGTCGATTTCGCTGTCGACCTGGTTAAAGCAGCGAATATCAGCAGATCGTAATAAGATTGGTTCCCTCACTGATTTCGTCACGACGGCATCTTATTATTTGCATAGAATACAACGAGACCGTGTGTACAATAAAGCAACAACCTTTTGCCTCTGTAATCAAGTTCTCCTTCCAGGAGAAATTTCAATATCTTTCACCGAAACTAAATTGTTGATAAAAAGTAATATTCTTATCCCAACTATGCTTCTTTCAGTCCTACAATTTTGTGAATGACAGTATTTTAATATTTATAATTTAAAAAAATTTT